AGAGCCACGTATCATTAAAACTACGGTCATTAAATCAGCAGTTAGTATTTCAAGCATCAATTTACAATAAAAAGTAACTTCTAACACGAAGCTGAGCTTCTTCTGATTTAATGACTAGTCTGTACCGCTTTCAAAGCTCACTTCTGTGTTCTGAATGGACCACATCCTCACGATGGAAGCATGTAAAGTTCACAAACATCTACACTCAGTTACTACCACCATCATCGGGAGCTCATATCACTAACAGGGAGCTGCAGGGAATGTCAGTTCCGATCTGAAGGCAGCGCAAAACCAGCGACGCCGTCCCTCGCATCTCCAGTATGGTTAAAACTCACCACAACCGCCACTGATTTTACTAAAACCTCACCCGCCGGCTTTAAAAACCGGCCTTTAAAACCAACACTACTCAACGGCATCACTCATTACCGTCGTCTCGCAACTGCGAGCGACCAGCTGAGCGAAACTGATCGCCAGCCAGCCGAAAGTGATCCAGCCGGCTGCGCGAAACTGCGACAGGCAAAGGTGTGGTGTGTAATAAATAACTATGATCGCAAAAGAAGTGTTTTTTCCTTTCCTGTCGTAAAGTCAGTTTGGCTGTATCCTTGTATTTGTAAAGTCCCATTAAATGAATAAAATCAACAATTTAAACAGAAAACTGTTACTGAACCGGGCTGCGTAGTACTTTTAAGAGTAAGTAGAAATGTAGCGTCTCGTTACTGCACAACGTTGTACACGCCATTAACGGGAATTTAGATGTGTATATGCATTCAGGGAGTTTGACAGGCGGCCGATTAAAGCCGGACCGCAAGGCGCGTGACCTCGCGCGAGCTCCCCGCCTCAGATATAACTCACCGTGATTGTAACTTCTTGCTTCTTCAATCGGTACTTCAAACTCTTCATTTTTCACTTCTTAGTCGGTGACCGCCTATACTCTTTTTATTAACTCATACACTGCAACTGGGGAATAAAGGAGTGCCTCCGAGTTCGTCGAGTTATTTCATACGACCCGAAACAACTTTTTTTTCGGGGAGGGGAGATGTTAATAAAAATCTCACACTTTCCACCTGAAGCCTTCCCGACCTGTTAGAAAACTGACTGATCGGAGAGCCAATGGTAGGGAAAATTCGGACAGAAGCAAATGCAACATCCAATAAAGTGCGTTTTTGGGCGGGACTTCCTCAGTAGTTCCGATCAGGATTGATTCTGGATTGGGGAAAACAACCTGAGATGAGCTAGCCCTCTGACGTCACTCCTACCTGGGAAGCGGGCCCCCAGTTACGTTTGCTGGGCGGCGAACGCGAGCGAATTCAACATCAGTTTACTCCCTAGTGGTCTGGCAATGTTTTTCACACCTGTTTGCATCTGTGCTACGGTATTAATAAATAATTTACCAATGAAACCCAATCGCCGTATTACTAGTTGACATAATCACCCTAACCAAAACCGAACTTTCAACAAAGCCATACGTTTTTAGGGAAGCAAATAGTAAGACTTCTGTTAAGTCCTGCGTTTGCCTGTATGAACACCTATTCCTTATAGGTGGTGAAAATTACACACGGCTCGTACAGGTGGCTGAAGGGTGCATCGGTTTCTGTCAATTCCGGGTATAAATCAGAAACGTACAGTTTGATAACAATGCTTAGGATGTATTATCTGCCATACGTTTACGTTCCCTTCTGCGAAATGAACAGATAAATACGTGTAAACAGTAATATGATGGTCATAATTATAAGTAGATTTGAACAAAAACCAATTTAACAGATATGATTTTAGAAGGGGTATGGGATAGAATTAAAAATATGTTAAAACACTGAAAATTACAAAACCAAAGAAATGTTCGGTTGGTAGCCTACGTTTGACTGGTATCGGTTAGTTCAACAGTTCTCTTTGAGAAATTTTGCTAATCTTTGAAGATGCTATGCAATTGCTGCTCGCTTCTGAGGTATCACTGGGAGTGTTGGACGGATATGGATACACTGGAACATTCAGGGGCCTGCACTTTACAGGGGTCCATGAATAGGTAAAATTATTCATAACATTTCGGGGAGGTGGAGGCAGAATTTCTAGGTATGCCCTTGGGTGTAACGGCTGAATATACTGCAGTTAATAAAATTGTGTTTGCTTTCAGAATGCCGCTGTACAAAATTTAATCTGAATTCCTCTGGTAAATTTCATTCTTACTAAATCTGAAATTAACGTAAAACACCGCTCGTAAGCGTTATGGCCATTTGTAATCAGTCTCACAAATTGAAGACGGAGAATTGCATAATCACCACAATATATTAAAGGTTAATTTTGCTAATGTGAAAATACGAACAAAAAAGACGAGTTATAGGAGTAAATCGGTTTGGATTGTATTACATTGCATTTGATAATCAAATTCCTAAAGAAGAGTTTGGTCGCCCTCTTCTGGCGTGATTACAGACCTGCACAGATCTGAACTGTCTTTTGTCTATCCCCAAAAATGCAGCTGCAAGGACGAATGATTACCATTTTAGGAAACACATATATATGTCTGTTACTGATATTGATATTGTATATGATATTGTACTGCATAAATACTGTAGTGAACATTTTTTGCTTACATATCAATTCACCCAACATTCTTCCATCCTCATTCTAACTACTTATTCTGGTCAGGGTCACTGGAGTTTACATAAGCGACTAATAAAAAATATTCACAAAGATGTAAATGCATTTGCAACACGGTTATACATGTAACACATCTTTTAAAAGGATTCTGTTTTCTGTAAGACTTTATTCTTTAAAAAATATACACCAAAAACAATGACAAAAATATACAATAGCATAAATGAAAAGAGCTATTGTGATTTCATGGGCTACTGATCAGTAATGGTCTGATTGCTGCCATGGGCTGAAGGCTTTTCACGCCTAATGCCCATGCTCAGAACAGCCCCACGGGATGTTTCTGGCATGCATTTTTACTGCTCTTAAAATCTCTTATTGTTAGTACTGTAATTGCTAAGAGCAATGCCATGTCACAGAAGTCCAGTATGATTCTATTTCATGTGGCTGTTCAGGTATCAAACAAGCCCTGTGCCTCTCTCCAGACCACATGATGAAAGACTTATCTTTTTTCATCTCCACTGCCATTTCATGTTTCCATGGAAACAGTGTTACCATGGATCTCTTGCTTCATATTGCTGCCATGTCCAGGATCTGCATCACAGGAGTGCAGAGAGGACCGTAAAAGCTCTTAAAGCTACCAGCGCTACAATCAAAACACAATGTGACGGGAAACTACAATTATAAATGCGTTTTTTAACCTGTTGCTCTGGTGTTGCTGTTTTTTAAAGATAACTACAATATTTATTTTTTGCAATGTTCAATTTAAATATACTGCTTAATGTGTCCTAAATTAACCTGCAATGGCGCTAATATTACTAGAAGCCAACATTTATGCATCAATCATTTATTTATATAATGGCGCAGAGAGCCTGGGACGGATGAGCCATTCATAGTATGATATGATGGCCTCTAAGATTCTTCCTGACATACGGAGAGCTGGCTCTGCCTAATGTGTTACGGCCACCCTGAGATTTTATCATCAGAACTCTAAGCCTTGAGTGGCAGTTCTTTCATAAGATCCAAATGAACAATATAGCAATTAGAGATATTTGCTCTGGGCTGTTAAAGTGGTTCCAAAACAATTTGGTTATAGAGCATATGGCAGTGAAGAGACAGGCCAAATTTGTCATTTTCCCTGAGGAAAAAAATACATGTTGACCAGGCTGATGCTGTAAAGCGGGTACTTCTGCTAAGCAGAAAAGCAGGCTTGAGGCCAGACATCAAGGAGAGACGGCACATGCAGTCCCACCTCTCTCCAGACTGTAGCTGGATTAGATTTTAGAGAAAATAAAACATTCCTGAGACTATTACCTCCCTTCCTTTAATAGATATCCTGACACCGAATCAAGTTGCACCAGAAAACCAGGACATTAATTTTAGCTTTCCATATTAATATTTAATGTAGGTTAATGCAAAATTCTGTTCAAATTTCATTTCCTTTTCAGAAAAGAGCAATCTACAAACTGAAATATCATGCTGCATATTGTTGCTTATCTGCAGTTGTTAGAAGATAAACATCAATGAAAGACCAAGAGAGAATGAAAGCAACAGGAAAGGACAGTTAAATGGATGACGTGTCCTGCTGAGACTGACGAGTCCTGCCATTTTACTCAGCATCAGGAGGTGTGTATGATTTGCCAGGGCAGAACATATCGAAAGACGACGTACCTGAAGTTTGGATTGTATGATATGGGTCAGATGCTGCTCACCTGGCACATGGTATTTTTAAAATAGCCCAAAAACCCATAAACCTTGTGGAGTCTCATCACAGAGTCTGAAAGGACATACAAGGACAAACAGGCGACTGGTGACCAGGAAGAATCCCCCCGACCACAAAAACAGCTCATATATTATTTACACAGCAGTAACTTATTTAAATGTTATGGGGAACCAACCCGGCACACGATTGACTTTATAAGTTTAAACTCCTCACCTGCTGACTTGATCCTGATGTACAACACTATCAGTATTACTTCAGTTACACTCACTTTGCTCGAAGTCAACATCGTGCATCATCACCAGCATGGGGGCTCATCAGTGTATATATATATATATATATATATATATTACACGCACACACACAGTGTGGCTATAATTGGGTCCATAATAAATGATGCAGAGTCTCTGCTGAACTTTTCATTGGTTCCAGCACAGAGAAATCATATGAGAGCATTTGCTGTATCACAAGGAAGCCAGGTTACACAAATACTGTTAACCATAAGCACTGCTCAAGATAAAACAGCAACATAGACCAGTATTGCTTAACCATTAATAACCATTCCAGTTATACATTTAATGGATTATAATTCACCAAGAGGTTTTTAAAACCCCAATAAATGTTTTGAAAAGCAAAAACCCAATTTATTTCCCTACAATGGTTCATGCACCTTAAAAGATCGCTTCCCTGAGGGTTTCTGTGGAACAACCTGTTTAATTCATTAAAACACAAGTGACACAGTAAAATCGTTGCAATAACAGAAGATTTTCTATCATCTGAAAAAATCAAAATTTCAATCCATGAAACCAAATATGGTAAAAATGGTACTTGCCACAGCACCAAATACCCAACAATACACATCATAGCATATAAATAGCAGGAAGAATGACACTACAGCGTTACTCCCAAAATAACCAGAAGAAAGAAAAGTATCTCAAAAAAATGTACCAAGGCCATTCTTCGGGAGGGGGGGTGATTTAAAGGGAAAAATGTGTTTTATTTAGTGTTTGTAGACAGCGAACCAAAGGCTGATGAAGAATCACAGGTGGGACAAAAAAATAAATATACATCAATGTTCAGGTCATGTACGTAAGAGGAAATCCAACAAGTGTGGCATCGTTTGCTGTGCTTAAAGCGTCAGCCTTCAAGCACACAGACGATTTGTCCATCTGCCTTTGGCACTCGCACATCACACAGGGGAACTGCCAGCCCTGAGCAGCAGCACCGCACCACACCACACCGAGCGCACTTCAGACTGACAGGCTTCCATTTCCAGCAGGAAACGTTACAATGAAAAATGCACTTTGAATAGTGATTCTTTCAAAACATCTCCTAATGCTGCTTTTTTAAATTTTAACTCCAGACAAATGAAAAAACATCTAGGACCACAGAGCACTTAGACAGAAATCCTGTCAGTCATTTGGAGGTTCTCAGATCACGAAACAGCATAAATTCATCATACGGGTTACAAAGAGAGAGCCAAAACTGACATTGGTACACACCCAGGTTTATAAATAGCAGAACACACAACCATGCCCAGTATTGTACAGGATAACAACATCCAGCTTCAGTGCCATTAGTACTGCAATATAAGGCAAGCAGTCACTAACAGAATCTGTTCATTGTTCCTATAAAATCCCAAATTCCTGATCTCAGATTTCAAAACTGCATTAACAGGGCTGCCATGAAAGCCAGAATAAGGATTTCAGACACAAACGTGAATTTAATGAGAACAGTGACATTTTATTATAAAATGACTGTAAACAAAAACAAAGCACCATGTGTTTCTATTTAAAAAAAACAAAAAAAATATAAAATAAGACAAAGCCTCTTCTGGTGTTCTTCATCAAGAATGGACTGATTGGGCTTCCACATAATACAAATACATCAATGTAGATGAACAGGCTCTCCAAACAAAAAGGGAACACAAAAAAAAATATATATATAGGAATATGCGAGCAAATATTATTAGAATGTCCTTCCGATATGAACTGAAAAAGCTGCATCAACTTCTCAAGGGTGGAATAATGGAATGTGAAGGTCAATTTGGAGGCTCATCTGACTCACACGTCCAAAGTCAAATTACTGCTTCCCTTGCAGAGATCTACTCCTGGGACTCTGGGACAGTGTCTGACAGAGCCCCAAGTGGAGGAAATGGAGAACGGGGAGGGATGAAAAAGATCCTTAGTTGACATCCTGGGAAGGATGACTGCATTACTCAGACAGCCTTTCGGTGGTACTCCGGAGGTGCAACTTCGTAATCAGTGGCACTGAAGAGGGTGGGAGAGTTCTTCACTAGGTACCTGAAACAAAGAGAGCCTATTAAGATGATTCACCTAAGGAACATGATATTAAACAACAGGTCAAGCTAATCTTAGGAAGCAGGGTGTGAGCAGGGGTGGGCAATCTGATGATTTTATATCGTGATCAATCTTGAAGACGTCCACGATCTTCTTTTCATGCAAACTTTAGAAGATTGTGACCTTTTGTGTCCTTCTACTAACGCTTCCAAACAATCACATAAAACTTCGATGGACATAACGTGGATCTCTACTGCGCTTACAAACCAACAGAATGACTGTATTAGGTGGCTGTGCCCACGTCAGTGATATAAAGAGGCATCACAGACGGGGTTACACAAGAGAGCGTGGTTTAAGAGTGCAGTTGTAGTTTAGTGACAATAAAAACATTAAGCTAATAAACAGGTGCAAATCCCAGAAACTGCAGAGAATCACTAAACTAGGGCTGCTGAGATTATCAGATATCACAATGTATTTTATTTGTAAGACACAAAAGGAGTTCAAAATATAGTTTACCGGAACTGTAACGAAAAATAACTTCCTGAAAATACCATATACAGTATAAAGTCCAGAGAGTATAATGGCATGAAAAAGCCTGATCTCAACCCAACTGGTTATCACGGTCCTAGTGATGTGAAAATTGCATGTGCATGGCATACAATGTCAATATATCTCACATCGGCCGGCCCTAACTCTGTTTGCTGTACGGAGAGCCTGTCTGTCACTCACTAGCAAAAAAGAAAAACTGCATCGAAAAACCCTTAAACTGGAGTAAATTATACTTTAAATCCACAGATTTCTCTTGTAGATTAGTCATGGAAAATGAGAACTGTGCAGGTTTTCCTTTTGTATCAAGCAGCAAAAAAGTTGCAGCATGATGCGTTTGATTAAATTTGCCATACCTTACATCACACGTCCTGCGATGTGACTATTGCGCATGCACACATTGCCATGGCGATGCTGAAACTACACACTGTGCAGCCCTACACTAAAGCAGATCAAACTCTTTCCAGCATAGTCAGGCATACCAGTATATACCACATCAACCTTGTATATGATTGTTATGGAATGTGCAAAAATATATGGTTAGCCACTGACAGGTTTAAAAAAATGCCTCCCAATATTAGGCAAGCTTGTTACTTCAGTGCCATACCAGCTTGACTTCAATACCAACAGGCCAGATGCTCAGCCCTTCAATTACAACTGAAAGTCTACTCTCTGAACAAACAAATCCAATCAATGCATTACGCTTATTCAATTGCAGCAATCAAATCAGCTCCAAGGGCATCTCATTTACATGTAAAGGGCAGAAAAATGTAACCGTAGATGTTTATGCAGTAAGATTAGATGACAGCGCATTATCATCTAATGAATTGCACATCGTTACTGATCATGCAGGCGACTCTCCAGGGAAAAGCGCTGGGAAAAACACTCACGGCTGGCTGCTCCATTTCTGCTGATAAAAATCACAGCAGCGCCCATTCTGGACATGTATTTTACCGAGTGTCGCAAGACAGGCGCCTTACTTCAGAAAGTCTTGCAGGTAGTTCAGAAGCAGAGCCAGGCTCTTCTCGTCTAGGGGAGTGTAGGCCAGCATCGCCCCAATTCGCACTGTCCAACACAAACAGTCGCATGTTATTAGCAGCAAATTACAGGGGTTAAAAGATATGGAAAACTAATGACTCATAGCAATCCTGGCAGATATTTGTGTAACATCTGCTCCCAGCCTGCTTCTGCTCTCATAAAACCATTCAATCATAACCCCCTGAGTCTGTACTGGCAAGCTAACCAATATAAAGCAAATCCATGTCCAGCTGAACTAAACAGCACAATGCCGAAAGTAAAAGTACTCCACTTACTCATAAAGCTTCATACTTCTGAAGCTTTCTAGTACATTTGCATGCAAAATATTACTTAAAAAAATGTGTGCGAGTGCAGCTCTGCCGCAGGAGTACCCACCAAAGAGCCTCAGCAGGTGCGGGGCTCCATAAACTTGGGACATGGGTGCGTCAGGATGGTCTGCCAAGATCTCCGCGTACTGCGGCCTCTCGAATTTGTAAAGGAGTTGGGTGCCGAGCATGACATTGAAATACTCCCGAATACCGGCAACCACCTCGTTTACAGCATACTCTCTGCGGAACAAGGCCGTTTGGAGCACATCAACACACTGGCTGCGCAAGGGCATTTTCAAACTTCTCGCGACTATTTGTTTTTCTCCATCCCGACGATTCTCTGCTCACTCACTTGTTGTCGGAGTTCCCTCTTGATTTCTTATAATTTGCATAGTCCTCTAAGATCGTATCAACGTTCTTTTTCGCTGGAAGATGAAAAAGCTGAAAAAGTCACATTAAAACAATGTCAAAGCCAATCACTCCAAAGAAAAAACTAACTACAACCATCAGGCATGCATGTGGGGGGTTGGAAGGATTGAAAGGGCCCCCCTTTTGGCGTCCAAAGTGCTCTTTTTAGATATCCAGTAATGATGCAAAATCTCTTGCACCCCCCCCTCATTTTTCCAGCCAGCACAGTACAGTGCAGCATCATAAGGAACTGAGACATGGTGTGGCTCTCGAATACAGTGTGCAAATGTAAACTGCAGTTTTATTGCTAGAAGGTATTTAAGGACCCACAGCCATATGTCATAGTTACACATTCAATTCCTTCATGGTCACTATCAAGCTAATGGTGCTTTTCCACTGGCATACTGGAAGCAGGCCGTCCCCGACCAATACTGCAAAGAGATACTAGTTACAGTGCAGCTCCAGCTCTCTTCGGTTTTCCACTACAGATGGGTCAACTCAGTAAAGGCGTTGCCGGGTTTGGAGAGAAACAGCGATGAAATTATGCTTATTTACTGTCCACGCGGTGTACATCGTGATTTAGTGTGTGCTCATTTCCACCAGCACGTCTGTGAGAAACGCTGGGTTATGTTAGCAGTGTGGCTCAGTGTGTTAAGCCTCTCTGCCTGCAATCAGGTCATTGGTTTGAGCCCGGCCTCAGCAGTGCTGTCCATGTGCCCTTTGAGCAGTAACCCCCAGCTCCGTGGGCGCTGCTGCAGGTGGCTTGCTCTCACCTACATATATGTCTGTGCGTCATGTAGAGCAACATGGGGCAGGCAAAAAGAGAATTTCCTCACAGAAATCAATAAAGTGTCATCAACATCATAATCAAACGTTGACAGAATCAGAGTTCACTTGCATAAATTTCCATTATGAATGCATTCCATTCAGCTGTTCTATAATATTTTAAGTACGTGGTTGGAAATTTTCAAGTTCTGAGTTATCAGGAAGGAATCAATAAATTGCGATGTACGATAGCACTAATAATGAATAATATATAAATTATGCCCCCTTTTCCTTTATATAATCCATGCATATTGATGCAGATCACTCGTATTTCCATGCATTTCGACCAATCAGATGGTAGTGATGCAACCAGCTCGATTTGGTCATGCTTTTGGCCCTGCTAGTACGCAGCACCATATCAGCGCGGGTACGACTTGCATAATTTACAATGGAAAGCCACCAGTTCGTGGTACGGCTCAGTTCCTGATGGAAGTGGAAAAGTACCAGAAGTTAAAAATATGTACACAATTTGCCTTAAATGTAAGGCTAATTAAAACAAAACATACAAAATTCAGGACATGAGAAAAGACTACATAAGAAATATGAAGAACAGACAGCATGTACTGCGCTACACCGTGTGTCTGGCCTTAGCTACACTCTTAACACTACATTATTGCTTTCAGTATAACATGAACCTCGTCAGACTGCTGATCTGCTTTGTGCTCCCAGTTTCTGTGCTAAAGAGGCTGAGAGGCTGGACAAAATATATGAAACACAGCAAGTGGAAATGTAAGCAACAACAAATGTTTGTAAGATAAAAGCAGAACAAAATCTGTTGGAGCCCAGAGCAGTCAGGGGGTTCCTGTGCAGATTGTCGTGTGAGAGTGTGTGTGAGTGTGTGTGCACGCTCACACACACACGCTTCCACATACTAGCTAACCTGCTTCTGCCTGGTGATGAGGTCCCAGTCGTCTACCAGCCATGGCTTCAGCTCCTCCGGGATCTTCACCTTCACCTCCACGCGGTTTATGAACGTCTCCTCCTGGACGGTCAAACGAGGACATGGATGTTTCAGTACAGGCCAGACCTGTCTGCCATTTAAAACAATACAGTATTTGGACAAAAGCCCATTAGTCTGTCTGAAGTTTGCCAAATCTCTTATGTAAAAGGCTTTCAATACCATGACTAATTACTCGAGTGAGTCAGTCACATTTTAATTACTACAATGTCATTGACATTGGAAGTGGACAGAATGTGTTATTTTGAATCTATGGCAAACACAGCCAAAAATAACTGTGGGGAATTATGGGAAGTCCCAGAAGACCAGGTCGACACTGATGAAAAGCCAAGTACATAGTCTGGATCTGACATGAAGGATGAGAGCACAGATAAGGCTCAGAGTGAAGCGGGAAGGAGAAGCAGGATCCCATACACTCTCGACGGTGGGGTCAACGCGAGCCCTCTTCTTTCGCGGGGGCTGTGGCATCTCCCCTGAGCTGGCCCCCTCACCTGCCCCTGGTGCTGAAGGAACACCACTGTCACCCAGTGGACTAAACGCGCACGGCACAACAGAAGCATCACCCCCAATTAAATGCAGCATTGAAAAGCTTATTAATGCACAGAAATGACACTGCTTCTCATGCCAACTACAAAGACACAAACCCAGTGCTAAATTTATCATTTAAGTACAAGAGAGGATCCAACAGCTAATGAAAACTGACAGCTTGCATTTATAACTGAATTATAATTTTCATTGCAATCATTGATTTGCCTAGGTCAGAGAAGTAACTCAGACTTAGAAATTCCAAAACGCATTTCTTACTATCAATTAATGAAGTTATTTCTATTTTTTTTTTTAAAAAAGAGAGATATTTACTTACTCTTTTGTTTATTCTTTTTTGTTTTCCTAAAAAAATTAGAGTAGACAATCAGAGAAGATTTACATTTAGAGCACCAAGTACAGACAGAGAACGTTGTGACCGACTTTCTGAACTGATGTAACAGCCTGACTCCTTTGGGGCGCCCTTCCTGCCCCACCACTCACTGTACATCTCACTTCAAGGTGCCAGCAGCCGCTGGCTTTGAGATGTACCTGACAAACAGGTATCCTACTCAGGAAAGGCAAACCTTCATTCTGTCACTTATACAGAATGGCAGCCACACAAATGAAGTGCTGAAATAAACACACAATGTACCATTGCTCTGCTTTCACATGCATCAGAACAGGAGGGACGAGTGGTGAAAGTAATACTCACACATCAACGTTTTTCTGCTGCACAGCAGCAATCTTCTTGCTTGGTGCTACACCCCTCATCTTTCCCTCAACATAATGATCCCTGGGAGAAAGAAAAACAGCACAATTAGCAGCCCAATGCAGTGACGGTACCACAGAACGAAGTTAAAGCCATTAGATTAAGTATAAGGCTCTTTGCAATATAAGCATGAAAACTCCCAAAAATAAGTAAAACTACACATTGCACCTTACAAATCAGATAACAGACATTCCACAATAGGGCTCAGCACTGGTAGCGGACATGCCACTTACTGATTAGCCTTTTGAAGCTCTTTTTGTTTCTGCAGGTTGGTGTCCACATATTTAAGCACTCTGCTTTCAGGGACCCATTCATCCCAGCTGAAAACACACAAAAATCAACTATTCTCACTGACAAAAAAAAGGTCCAAATAAGTTCATTTAAAAGATCAGCTTCACACACCTGCTGAAACCTACTGGCCAAATCCTTAGCCGAAGGTGCTACAGCACTGCAATTAAACCTGCCTTTGGCTCAATATGTGTGTCACTGCAGAACATTGCAACTGCTCTCAGGGGTCCCACAGACTCAAGATGGCATTCAAGAACTTCTTAGTTACTGTGCTGCCCTTTATATCACGGTTTTCAAAGACACCATTGTGCAGCAGTGCCCCCCCCCCACTCCGACTTTTACATCAGTTTCTCAAAGCTTCTCTGAGGAGTTTCACAGACCAGTGGGTCAAGAGCAAAAATACCAAGTCAATAAAACAAAATACAGTGGTACCTCGGTTCTCGAACTCACCAGAACTCAAATTTCTTGAAAGTTGAACAAACCAGTTTGACCTAGAACTCGATCTGAATATCAGAAGTTGAACCGTGAACGCTGAACTAATATAAATTGTACGCGCCAGGAAATGAGTCATACTACAATGCAATTCTTACTTGAATGCCTTCTTCACAGACTGGACGATTAACCAAATAAAGCAGCGCAACATTACAGTAACTAACAATAAATAAACCACTAACTTACGTGTACTATTAGAGCATTATGTCATTTATTTAAACTTTATTTTACCAGGTAAATTAACTGAAAAACAGTTCTCACTGCTTTACGTGATATTCGGGAGAAATAGCAGATTACGCATCGGAACCTGGGATACAAACGTCATGTGTGTAACTAAACTCTTCAGCCAATAAGGGCAAAGGTGTGTCGTCACGGAGGCGGTTCCAGTTTGTGCAGCTGGGTGAGAGGTAATGCATTGCGTCAGGATCAGAATGCGTTGCTTTAAGCCAGCGCTGTAAGCAAGTCGAACGCACCCAATGACCGGACTGGGGAAACAAACTGAAACGCGGACTTAATACAGAGGACTAATGACAACAACCAGAAACAACTGATCACATGGGGATCCCACAAGAGGTTAACGAGGGGGCGTGGCACACGGAAGGAGCGGACGATCGGGGCAGGACAGGGGCAATGTAGGGATAAGATCTTTATCGTTTTGGAAGCCATTAAGAAAAAAATGCTCGTTTTATCCTGTTCATTTTGTGTTTAAATGCTAAAAAAATATATTTAGGTGTAATTTTGGGGGGCCAGGAACCAATTAATTGGTTTTCCATTATTTCTTATGGGAAAAATTTGATCAGAACTCGAACTTTTTAGGATTCGATCCGGAGTCCGGAACGGATTAAGTTCGAGAACCGAGGTACCACTGTACTACACCACATTCTGCACATGATTTGTGGTTTCCTGCTATTTCCCTGCATCTTTTCCAAGCTCAAGCTTATAAACTTTTACAATATGATACAACCGCCTGTGCTATTCAATTAAAATACTGATTTTAACAGCAGTAAATTCTGACTGTAAATTCTTGCATTCTGAAAGTGTACAGCTTGGTAAATTCAACACTAATTTATCATCTTGGTATTTCCCAATATGACATAGCAACCAGCCTTTTACAGTTTTACCTTAGTGTTACAATGCATAACCCTCAATGCTCCTACTTATTAGTGAAATATGACAATACGCTTTAACGTACACAAAGAGGGCAATAAAATCACAAGACTCACTTTTTATTCCATCCACTGTAATGAATAAAGTACCTCACTTGCTTGTCCTTGATATTAACTTTTACACACTGTAAAGAAAACCAGAATCAAAAAGCATAATCGTCAATAAAAGAAACACTATTCAAGGAGGACGCGTGTCTTTCACTGCACTATAACTAAAACATTCAAAGAAATCTGTTATTCTTCAAGATGTGAATGGCTTTTGCAAGTGACACCCAATCCTTACATACCAAACAAACCACACAACACAGCTGCAGGTTTATTAAAATATTTACTTTCTGGTTTTTTTTTTTTTTCATAAAATGTTACATAATCTGTTAAACATTTAAGAATTTCACAGTGTGGATGGAGAGGGACGACTGTGAGAAACAAAGCATCATACCTTAGCCTCGTAGAGCAATGGCCCATGAAAACACAGAACTCTTTCACCTGAAAAGCCAGACAACATTACTCAGTCAGTTACTGCTTCTACCTGGAGGTGACATATCAAACTTACATATCGTGAGACACACACAAACTTTTCAAATCAAGCTTTCATACGAATCCGTACTGACTAACCGGGTCAACTAAACCACCCCTTGTGGACCAAATCTAAAATCGACATTTAAAGGCTTGCATGGTGTAAGAAGGCCTACTTAACGTGAACTTTCACTATTCCTCTAGTTTGAGAATAAGCTGGTAGAAGATGAAGCTGGAATTTTAAGCAGAAATCTGGGTCTCTCATTAAAACACTTGACCAATATACCATCATGAATAAATCTCTAAGGTTCAGGGGTGCCCTGCAAGACTTACCAAGACAAGTTTCTATAAAGGCGACTGATCCATGAAAAATGAAAGGTGGTGAATGTAAAACAGAATTCATATGAAAAGACTCGGGAAGTTTGCCAGCATAAGATCGCGCCAGCCCGAATTTCTTTTCCGACCAACCGCATGTATGTGAACTATCCTCACTGGTTAAAGACGGACCGCATTTCCTATAACAGGCTCTCCTCCGATCGATGCATCCAGGAATCCTCCATTATATCCCACATAATCAGTACAGATTCAGCACAGTATTTCTGGATGTTTACAAGTAGCTTTGCATATGTTTTAATCGTTAAATTTAGACTAGAAAATCGAAAATCTATCTAGCGGAAGACATACATAATTTTACAACAATATATATACACCGAATGACGACAATTCAAACAGCACATTAGCCAGCAGCATGAAGTTAGCTAGACATTCCCTCTCAGTCACCGTAAAGACAGGAAGCGAAATGAAGTACTGCCGGCGCTACAGGCGGACACGCTCACACAAACCTGTATATGAAACGGAATCCGCTGTGTTTTATTTTAATAATTACCTGCTTAATAGAAGCTCTAGTAAGGATGAAAAAGCCGTAACCACCGGAGAGCGGAAGCGCGTCCGCAGGGCAGCGCGATCTTGGGTAGGCGGAAAGTGGTCGTACAGCCGGCCGCAAAAACCCCGCAAATGGCCGTGAGGTCGCTGTGTTAAGCGCCCTAGCTTAACACAAGCGTTCAAAAAAATGAAACACGTTAGTGCGCAGACATACTGCGGCTAGCTGGCGGAGTGGCGCCTGGCTGCACGCGGAGGCAGGCCAGCGTAACCGGTTCACTGAAACATCGGTGTGCTTCCGCTCACTGGGGACTCGCGTCAGCGCGAGGGCCTCGGCAACATAAACATCACTCACAGCGGACTCGTAGCGGGGAGAAAAGGCCAAGGCAAACAGCCAGCTGACAGTCACAGCACAACACTCTCGGCGTTTTTTGTCTTTATTACCGCACTAACGGCGCCACCTCGCCATTTTTGCGCGGCACGCACACAGCAACGCGCGAGCTGGCGCCTCGCGCTGCCAGCACGGCCGGGACGGGCTCCACGGGCACGAAACGCAGCGCTGCTCGGAGTCCGGTGCAGGCGGTAGCTTTCCTTACCTTCTTGAAATTTAGGTTTAGGGTCCTGTTTTGGCGCCATTCACAGATTAAACTATTAAAGTATCTGAAAAATCAAGTTCAGGCATCGCCAGCTCCGATTTCGTCCAGACACAATGAAGACGCCACTCTGCGTCATTGAGGCAACGCGTAGCCATTGCGCGTCCGTCAGGTGACCTAACGGCCAACTTACGTCACGTCTAGTTCTACCGAGAGGCGTGGTCCTTCTTTGTCCTTAGAAGGACGTTTGAAGGTCATTCACTCTAACCAAAAATATGTTTTGTATTGGTCATTTTACTTGACTGCATATGTTGAAGGTAGTTGGATTCCAAAAACAGTTTTGTAAATGCTTTAATTAAAAACATCTGCTAAATAAGAAAATATAGATTACAAAATTGTAGAAACATTAATTCTAACGCAAAATAGCTTTTAAATGTTTGTACAAAAATGAATAATCCAATAATTATTAGTAATGTGGCTATTATAACTATATACTGCTTGGTACTAGTTTTACAGCTAACTGGGACCTAAAGAGTGACAATGCTGTCCCCCCAACCTTTAAAAATATGCATTGTTTAGGCTTAATCAGATACCACTTTTCCACGTGTTGAGATCCTATTATTCCCCCAGCCAATGGCACATTTCCAACTTGAAATTTCCATTCAAAACCCATTCGTCCTTGCTAGTTCGGTTTCCTACGTTACTATAGCCTACGCATGCAGAACATCCCTGTTTTTGCTCAATTCAGAGGAGTTTATATGCACAGTAAACGGTCAAGGTCACTTATGTTATTGACCTCCGAAGAGAGGCGGAAAGTATCGAAGTACAATTATTTCGTTAATGTACATAAGTACATTTTTCCACATATCTGTACTTGAGTAGATATAGTTGCGGACACTTTTGACTTTTACTCTACTACATCTTACATCAAATATTTATACTTTCTACTCCTGTACAATTATTCTTAGTGTTCCGTTACATTTTACAGTGACATTCCTGTTTTTGACCAAACGAATTTTATTTTAGAGATCTGAAATAACAAATATTTTGAAAGTGAATTTCTACTAGTACAAATGTAATTACAGATATCTGCAATGACATTTCTACTATTAAAAACTGAATTAAGGGTATGTGAATCTGGATTTTTGACTACTCAAAATTAATACGTAGATATTTGCAATTTGATGTTTTAGTAGTTTAAATTGAGTTATATCTACAATATGATTTCTCACTAGTAAAATTGAATTTTGGATATGAAAGGGAAAAAAATCAATGGAAGTCAATGGTAATATATAACTTGTAAAAATTGAGCTAATCGTTTCCGCGAGGCTGAAGCTGGCGTCTTATTAGCAAAATCTGTTCCATCTTAAACGGACATAACGCATGTTCTGCCATACTGCACTTTAGCTTGTCAGTGTGTTTGTTGATATCCGGAATAAATTTTTTACTAGTTGAAAATCCAAATTTCTGATATCAGAAATTGGTATTTTAACCAGTTTAAATTCAAATTCCCATTGAAATACATGAGAAGAATGTTTTGAATCTCAGAATTTCTGATATCAAGAATTGGCATTATGACTAGGCCTAGTTAAAAGTGAATTTCCGATATGAATAGTATGCATGTTATCTAGTTAACGTCGATTTTCTGATATCATAAATACACATTATAACTAGCTACAACTGAATTTCTGATATCAAGAATTTGCCTTCTAACTATAGTTAGAACTGAATTTGATGTCCTCCAGAAGTGATTTAACTGCCTCCGAGGAGCTACAGGCGAGCCGAGCTCCTGTGGTGTTAACACGGCAAAAGTCCCTGGTTCCGGAAAATGGTTCTGGTTCCAGGAAACCGTTCCGGCGGTGTGAAGGCGCCTAATAACTTCCAAGCTGCTGAATCTGTTAGGATTTGCCAGAGAATTGCTGCGATTCAGAGTACCACACATGCTTTAAATTCAATCCATTGCAGTTGTTTTCACAGCAGATCGTCATTCATTTCCAAACACATTTCGTTTGATTCATCTGTAGATTTTTATCGACCCATCTAAAACATGCATTTCCATTGTTCAGGAAATTTGTGGTGAGAATCATGCGTTCTTATTCCAAGCAACTACATGTACCCGGGTCTAGTCAGAGCTACCGCTCCACGAACTTTATAAATGAAGTGTATTAGTATTAATGTTATTTCTAATAACATTTTATTATCAGGAAAAAAATGAGCAAATAAGTCTGCACTTAGAATGGACGTTATCCGGTCTGTCAATTAATATCGATGTTCAGGAATGAAGCCTTAACTCCCCAGCTGGGAACAGATTTTTTCCCTTCCTGCCAAAATCTGTCATGCTTTTGATGTTAGACTATGCAAGCTGGCCATGTTAGCGGTTTTCTACCTCGAAGAGAAGTAAACGGTGCACAGTATGTTTTGTGATTCAAATTACCGGACTACAATGAAAAATTATCTGAAAATGACAGGTAGATGTTCAAAAAACGCCTTCTGTATATATGAATGATAAATCATTCCATTTGAATGAGCGATTCATTCATGTCAAAGTTTCTCTAGCTAAATGGACAGTTTAAACTCCAGATTAAAATGATGCACATATCAGCGACGTATCGTTACACACCTATTTCCGTTAAATGTTTTGCATATGCTTCACTCTAGTGCCAGGATAAGATCTGAAAATTTGCCAGCATTCCAAGTTATTACAATTTAACTAGACCTTGCTCAGAGCTGAATTTTCGAACTTCACAAGAGCTTTCTTCTCATCCGTTTTAGTTTCGTGCTGCCACCTACTGCTTTTGTGTGTGTAGTGCACGGCGAGTTTAAAGATATGTCTCAAAATTAAAACGCCGAATAGATCTTTGTTTACAATACAATCTGTCACTGCTAAAAGGTCATGTAATTACACAGGTAAAAATATAAGCAAATGCACAGCATATCACTATTAAATAACTCGTTTTCCCTTCTGAGGTATGATTCATCATCAGCCTGCTGAGAGGTGTTGGTCTCTTGATGTGGTGACAAGACGGAGCTACACTTGGCAACTCCACATACTGGATTAGCGTGCATTTTCCTCACTCGGGCAGCTGTTGGTCCCAGATCTAATTGCTGAGGTCCATGCAGTGAGACACCCAGGGCTCCCCGGTCACATGGCCAGCGGCACGCCATCACTTGTTCTCACCGCTCCTCCATTTTCTTCTTTGCTTTACTATTGGTTGTCTGCTTGATGCCTTAAATTAAATTCAACAAAACAAATGCTTGCTATTCAATGTAAGAATGCTATCATCACCAGACACTGATCTATGCTCTAAGATGAACAAAACTCAATCAGGCAGTAATAGAGACAATACAAATAAGTTAATTATGCAAATTTTCCTCTTAAAGGATTACAGGAGCTAAATAACGAGTTGATTACAATAGTGCAGCTTCAAAGGCACTATGGTTTCTAAATAATCTTGACATATTGATTTCTGTAACCAGATTAACCTGTTTACCCCCCACCACCACCACCCCAATACAGCTATATACAGAAGTCAACCCTTGTACAACACTACTTACTGAACATACAGTATATGCAGGAAATTCAAACATGTGCATACTCACCGTGATTACAGTCGCCACTTGCTGCCTGTTCAGTACGAGCCAGCAAAACATGAAGGCAAAATGTTATCAGGATTTGAAAGGTAACGTAACAGCCACCATTAGCTTTTGTCATTAAATATTCCTCTATTCCCTTCTGCAATAGAGATCTGTGCAACAGCAAAGCTGCAGTAAAGAGTGGACTTGTGTAGGATAGTGACATGTCATTTATTTACAAAAACAGGCAATATACTTGTTTGGTACTGGCAACATAGATTTGACTGTGACAATGAGTACTCATTTCTTTAGAACTCCCAACGCCAAACACAACAATGCCAATTTTCCAGACCAAGCATGTAAAACATTTAGCAAACACGTACACATACTTTTGCCAAAAATAAAGGGTGTATTGATGGTTGACTAAAATAAAGACATTAAAAAGTAAAGTTATCTGAATGCGTTTTATTACATCTAAACTTCTCTACATAAACAGGTAACATTCAATAGGTAAACAATTTCTTCCAATGCATGTAATAAATATTTTTTTCCCACTTGGTATTTTATACAAACTGACATTGGTCTACTGTACATCTTTTTTCATCTTCTCCTTCTTTTAAAAAGCCATTTTTTTCTTGTTTGACATGCCATAAGGAAACAGTAATGGTGAATTTAAGGCAGTGAGCACAGATGGTAGCTATTCGGACTTGTGAGGATCTTCTGCAAGTCGGACTACATCTTAAGTCCTCTTAGTGGTGTTCTTTGTCTGAAAAAAATATATAAATTAAACTCTCTCGTTTCAGATGCCACAAAAAATGAGAATAAATATCACTGGAAGTCCCTTCTGTGTACAACTGCCAGAGACTTCCCAGTAATTATATATATATAAAAAAAAAATCTTAAATTTTCCCTTTATCAGTCTTTAAAACACCACAATCAAGAGCTTTAAAACTTTATATATTTGATTGGTTACGTCTGCTGTTAACTTTTTGACTTTTTGTTTAGAAAAGTCTCTCTGGTACCATAATGTGGTAACTAAAAGTAGACCGGATTACCTTTGTTTACAGTCTGGGTACTGGGCTGAATTCCAGTACCCTTAAAAGTGCAACGCCACAACACTGAGGGAACTGCCAGTAAGACAGGGGGTCCAGCTGGGCAGGGCGCTTGCGTCTGTCTCCATGGCGACAGCAGGAGGCCTGGGGCTAAGATGGTGGAGCTGAGGGGGTTCTATGCTGACCTTCAGTTCATCCAGCTATCTCGAGACGTGCTTATGCGACAGCAGCTAAGCACACATCCGAAAGGCAATGCACAATTAAATGCTGACCGTCCAATGAAACAACTGCTTTTTAATAACATGGTCACAACAATAACCAGGCATTACTTGCAGCTAAAGTTTGTTTTTTGTTCTTGTTTAACGGGGCAACATTCAATGTCTATCCTCCTGGATTTTGAAACTCAGCAATCTTGCAGCTGATATTCATATTTTGAGAACAGGTGATATGGCCAATCTACACGTAGATGCTACTGAACGACTCTCTCTTCCCTTAGCCTTTCCCAGATCACACATAATTATGTCGAAACAAGCAATAATTCAGATGCAGCTGCAAGACTAACAACTCCCACATATTAGATATATTATTCTGCATGAGTGAAAACCTAAAAGAAAAAAAAAAGATGCTTGTTTTAATATAACAGGTGACTAACCAAAGATCTCCTTAAATAGAACTGTATAATTATTAAACAAGGAAGCAGGCGTGTAACAGTAATACATCAATGGAAATCAAAAAACACATATATATATAAAAAAAAATTACATTACACAATAAATAAAAATACTGATCATATTTTATAGATGGGGAAAACAGACTAGGGAGAGAGGCTCTTCCACTGAGGCGAATGGAACAGGAAAGCAGAGTTTGGCTGGAAAACCACACTGTCCGGGGCATCACACTCCAAACGTCATCACACATTTTGATTTCTTAAGTCAGGAACCTGATTAGGGGCAGAGATCTGTGCGATGGAGTTTGACTGAGCTCCATTTACCGAAGAATCTTGCAATAATTTCACAGAGCAGGACAGGAAAAAAAAAAAAGCAATGCCCCAGATCACCTGGACATATATATGCTGTTTAAGGACATAATCCCAAGTAGTTCAACACTACAACACGGATGCAGGCTTTTTATTTGACATAATATTTTCAGTCACTTTTCGAAACACCACAGACTCTACATTGGGCTGGTTAACCAGAGTCTGACTGATGATCGAAGATATTTCCGCGCAGCTGAGGTAACAGCTTGGGGCTTCTTGTGCATCAGGGACACAGAATGAAGACGGAGCCTCCTTCTTAGAGTGAGGTGATGCGGATGGGATGAGAAACGCCTCCGGAGATAAAAGACATATGCGAGTCCGTCATGGGCACCGACACTGCGCCGAGCTTCCGGATTGCGGCAGGATGAAGGCAGCAGCCAGGTAAAGCTGCCGCTGTTCAGACACGGTCAGTCAGCAGTTGACCGTCTGATGTTCTGGGCTTTTCTACCATAGAAAGGAGCCATTTCCACTCGAAGAAAAGGCGCGGCCATGGGACCACACAGACCTAGCCACTCTCTCTCTGAGGGAATCCCACTGTAAGCCAAAGGCCCGGGGAATCCCACTGCAAGCCAAAGGCCCGGGGAATCCCACTGTAAGCCAAAGGCCTGGGGAATCCCACTGTAAGCCAAAGGCCCAGCTCTCGCACCCAGAGCCACCCCACTCAGCAGTCAGCCTGCAGCCTCAGGTACATCAGACTGTGATTAATATTACTGAAAGTGCCTCGCCAGTAAAAGTACTGTCACTGACCACTGGTCGGCTAATTCACCAGCTGCGAGGGGGGATGTTTCAACATGATATATCACACATAAGGGACAGTGAACCCTTACTGTGTTTTACACCAGGTTACAAATACCAGCCAAGTCTGTGGAGGGATTGACACACGATCGTGCTCCAACCACCCAACAAGAAGGACAGAGTGTATTCACTTTATTCACCAGACCACCCCCCGGAACACAACAGCTACCTTCATACCTAAGATCTCATGTTGTCCGGCCACCCTCAACATCCCACGGAAGCTGTGAGACCCTGAGGCCGTTTAGAAAAGTACATCCCCACGAGACCTCACATCAGCACCCCCCCCTCCGTTTCTCTTCTTCTGTGGGTTTGTTTTTGGCATTGTGCAAATAAAAACAAAGTGGTTGGGGGGGAGGGGGGGGCATAAAAACGATCCATCCGTAATTTTAAACCCAATTTCAAAGCACGATCCACTCGCTTAACTTCAAACTAAAGGTGAAGATAACGGCTTTCATGTCAAAAAAGTTGGAAAAGTTCTGAACGGGCCCAGCTGGTGGGAAAAAAAACAGACAGACACGTCACACTTTAGCCATCGACGCACTCCCCAAAGCTACATCCTGAAAAGGCGCAGGGAATGCTTTTAAACAGTTAATATATCTTACATAACTTAAACGCATTATAAAATGATCAGCACATTTGAATGATAAAACACGTCTGTCAACCACTGAGTTATAATTCTCTCGGAGAAGAAAAATTCCTACAATGATTTCAAATAGAAGAGTAGATTGGCCTAACATAATACCACTGAAGAGAATAATGCCATCGTGTGGAGCAATAAAATAAAACAATAATGAAATACAAAAGCTATAATAATTGGAGGACAACAAATGTATAGCTGTGAAAAAATCTTCAGTATCCACGGAAAAATATCAACTGAAGTCACTCACTTGACAGGCAAAGTCCTAAGTTTATATACAAAAGTAAAACTGAAAATATATTTTGTTCTCTGTACACAGCATCATTCCTTTCTGTTTTTTTTTTTTAAAAAAAGACCTTACTTCTTTTAATCTTCTTTGTTTCAACTGAGTCTGAGTTTGTTTTGAGGGGGTAGGGTGGGCTGGGGGGCCGGGGGGGAGCGACAGCGTTCCGGCTGTCAGTCTAGCGAGATGACATCGGTAATGGAGCCGTAGATGGCGGCGGCTGTGGATGCCGCCTCGCTGGCGGCCCTGGGCACCCCGGGGTGGGCATGGCTGTCCCGCAGGCTGTCCCGCAGGCTGTCCCGCAGGCTGCTGGACGACACCAGGCTGCTGCTGCTGCCGCTGCTACTGCCGCCGTTGGCCGGGGCCAGGGCGCTGCCCGCTGGCGTGCCCGGCTGCTCCAGGAACACCTGGGAGGAGCCGTAGGGCAGGAAGCGGTTCAGGAGGAGCTCGTGGTCGTCTGAGGCGGAGGCGGCTGCGGCGGCTGCCATCACCATGCTGTAATGCTGCGGGGGCGGGAAGAGAGGGAGAGAAGGAGGGGCCCATTACAACAGGCTGCAAGCTGATTGGAGGAGGACTCAAAGGCTTACCGTCACCTGGCCAATCCAGCTCATTTTCCAGCCCCATAAAATTGAAAATTACAACCAGCTGGTTCTCGGTGGCAGAGCTGATGGGCTGTGAGCAGGTAGAGGGCGAAGCCGTCGCCAAACAGACCGTTTGTAAGATTCCTGCTTCTTGTTTACATCTCGCCATCATTCTTCTTTTCTTGACTTTAAGAGCCCATTTCCTCTGAGCCCTGTAGCCTGAAATTCCTGCTGCCCCTAACCTCACCAATGTGTCAGATAATCCCCCAACAATCTGCAGCCCAGGGTGGCCAGAGTGGCCTTTGAGCACAAATGCAAAGAATGTGACCACGGCCCAGACTGAAGGGCAGGCAGCTGGAGGCATGAGAGCGGCGGCGGGGGGGGGAACCTGCAGACCGCCAGCTACGATGACAAACCCAGCTGCATCGATACATCAAAATTACAAATCATTTTGGGAAGATTTGTCAACAGTTTCACTGTAACCTATGAAGAGCAGTGTAAAGGTGACACTAACACTCGTTAATGTTGTTTCCTGATGCACTGTGATTTTAAAGACTGGGTGATTTTGATTATCTGTTATATGTCAAAAGTTATTACGTGGGCAATTTAAGAAGGCATAGCAATAAACACCAATGTAGAATTCTGTTGTGCAACAGTATGAATGTAAAAGCCTCGGATTGTGACTCTGGACCTGAAGGGGATTAAGGTGCTAAGACTGGCTGCCTTTCTGAAAGGCGACGGCCGCAGTTCCTCGGGTCGGGACGTACCTGGTGGTTATCGCCTTGTAGAAAGGAGAAGAAATTCAGATCTACAGAAAAAGAGAAGCAGTTAGCTGGGAATGCCGTAGCGATTTGCTCAGCTTCAGAAGAGAAATCGTGGCGAGCCTTCCGGAATAGTCATTAGTGCTGGCAGCCCCGGCAGGGCGGGCCGGACCCCGTACCTGATAGGTCATTGGGCGTGTGGTAGTAGTGGCGGTAATCCTGGATGGGATGCAGCGGTGGGGGCGGCGGGATGTAGCTGGTGTCTACAGGGGGCATGCTGGGAGTCCGGGCCACCGGGGACGCCTGGGTGTGGAGATTGAGCACCCTGCAGCACAGAACAGTGTGAATGCGGACAGCCGGCACACGTCCAGGCAAAAGCTCACTTGTTAGCTGTGTTTAAATCCACGTGACGGCAGCATGGTGACACACCCCTTGTTGATAGGCGGCGAGGCGGGGGACAGGGAGGGGCAGGTCCTCTTAGGCGGGGGCTCCTCCTCCTCCTCCTCATCCGAGGAGCTGTCCAGCGTCAAGTCGATCACCTCCACCTTCTTCCCGCCGCCGCCGCCGCCTCCGTGAGACGAGCTGTTCCTGTGCTCGGGCACGGCGTTCCGACAGGCGCCTGCGGCGGGAATGCCCCGAGAGGTCCGCATGGGTGCGGCATCCACGCGGACGCTCACACAGGAAGCGCAGAGCTCCGACACACAAACTCTCCGCTTCTAAAGTTGTACCAGCTGCTACACAAACTTTAAACGACAGATGCTAACGGAATTTTTTTTAAGCGTGGCACTTGAAAGATATTTTAATATTTTTTTTTTTTAACTTCGGACCCGAGTCTACCTGCTCACCCACACTGCAAATGCACAACACGTACCTTCCAAGCCGTTATACGAGGCGGCCACCTCTTGCACTTCCTTCTTCGACCTCATGGGGGCCCAGCTCCCATCTTCTTTGAACTGGATCTCGTCACAGTCAACGCAGCTGTTCAGTATCTCCATGAACAACCTGGCCAAGCGGCGACACAGGATGAGCTGGCCTGCGGGCCTCCAGGCCTCCCCTGCCCACTCGCGGCCCCGGGCTCACCCGTCGATGATCAGCAGCTCGTAGGGGGCCTTCTTATCGCAGACGGGGCAGACCCAGGTGGGTTTCTTCTCGTTCATCTGGATGTAGAGCGTGGCGTCGAAGCACTGCAGGTGGGAGCAGGTGATGGCTCGGCACGGGATCATCAGCCGCATTTTCCCCAGCTGCGCAAACGGGAGACGGGACCGTCACGCCACGCCTGCATCCCGGGCGCGCAGACGGAGAGGTGGCCGCTGGCAGCAGCCGACATTAATCATGCTCAAAGCAGGATAAAGATCATTAACAAAGAAACATCGCAGTTATTATAAATCTGTTCAGTACACCGGGATTCATTTATTTTATATTAATAACCTTCCATTACTAGTCCCTATCGCAGCTATAACTATATCATAAAGCTTCCATGTACAGTTTAGTTTACTGCTTCACGATAACCCAAAAAAGAAACATTTTCATTATACACCAAACAATATCGATACGGAATACGCTGCCTACACCGGCATGACACAGAGGGGCGGCTGCAGGCGGCACCCTTCAAAGGCGAGGCCTCTGGCCCTCGCGTGAACAGAAAGTTCATAGGAAACAAGGGCAGCCCTGAAACAGAGGCCAGAGCATTTGGAATGCCAATGAAAAGGGTCGCCATGGCAACTATAGGGCCCGGAGCCCCAGAGGGGGGAGCGCAGAGCAAACAGCTCCACACTGTTGTTTATACAAGTGTGAAAACAGGAAGCGTAGCGTAAGCCGCCTCCTGGGCACACAGCACACGTGCTCACGGCACCGGTCCCACCTGCGGACCCATATGCGCACCCCCCCAGCCTCGGGAGGACATGGGGAGAGCCTTTCTCAGGAGTCCAACAGATGCTGCTGCCCCCCCAACATCCCCTCCTAATCCGGAATGCTCCCTCCACAGCAAACTGACCACATGACCCAGGTAGCCTGCAGAGCAGACGCCGCACCTGAAGGGGCAGTCTGCTCCCACATTCACCCCACCTGAAGGGGCAGTCTGCTCCCACATTCACCCCACCTGAAGGGGCAGTCTGCTCCCACATTCACCCCACCTGAAGGGGCAGTCTGCTTCCACATTCACACATTTAAAGCCGTGTTAATTTCATTGGTGAAAATGTTGACGAAAACATACCCCAAATATACCAAGGGGTACAACTAAAACAAAAACGATTAAACTCAGCATTAATGCTGACGACGATATCAAATAAAAATTAAATCCATATTTTGTTGCCACTGCATCGTTTTCTGATAAAAATGTAGACTTTCCTGGCATATTGTGTTCTGGTATTTTTTGCTTGACCAAGAACTACTGGGTCGGGCTTATAAAGATAAACTTTGCTGATTGGTCAACCACAAGCACTGGAGCTAACTTGGGAGTTACACGGAAGTGCAGAGAACAGAAATTGAAACATTGGACTGAAAATGGGACATACAGAATTATTTTTGTATCTGTTACATTAAATGCGTTAATACATTTTTCTGCATGTCTCCATATTTCTGCTTCAGAAAATTTGGTCAATAACCAGTGAAACTCTGCAGCACTTATTAATGAGATAAGGATGCATCGTTTTTTTTTATCCTGTAGAAAAAGAAAGATGGATCTGCTGGTGAGGTTTAATAATGAATTATAAACAGGTTGCGCAGGCCGTATAAAGAAAATGTTCTGCCTTGTTTTTACCCAATATGGAATGATAACTAACTTATAACAAAATTACTTGTTCATCATCCTTTGTTTTGGGATGGCAATATAATTTTGTATGAAATTATATGTGAGCTTTAACCTATGAGCTATTTTTGTCTGCCATGCTTATTTAGCATGACGGTCAACAAGGTTCCTGAACCTCAGTGGAAAAGCGCCTCATATTAAATAATAAATTCGGCATTTGGAACCTCCACTGTTCAATACAATGTTTATTATGATTATTGTTATAATTATCGTCAACATAATAAATAATAATAATTACAACAATTAAAATCAAACAAATTTCTTTTAAGTTTAATTTAGATACAATTTTAGACAAAATTATCACAGTGATAATTTTTGTTATTTCTTTGACTAAAATGCGAGTAAAACGTGTATTTTAGTCCTTATGGCAGCTCATTGTCACTTTAGCGGCGTCACACCTGTGTGTCAGAGCATCAGGGGCTCGCGGAGCATTGGGCCGTAAGCGCCCCTTACCCGTGACTGTGACAGCAACACCGCCTATGCCAGATAGCCAACATGGAGCCTGACTGAGTGCCTTTCGCATCTCGGCAACGTGACCACTTAACGGCAGGATTTACCGCTGGCTCACACGTGATCACAGCATGCGTGTTTGGCGCCCCGTGGTGCTTTGGCGGGAACAGCACGCGGCTGAGAGACGCAAGCAGTGTAAGCAGGGGCCGGCGGACAGGGCTCACGCACCGGGCAGAGCAGGGACACGCGCAGACTGGTGGTGGCGATTTCACTGTCAGGATCCGCTGTCAGCTTCTCTTTGACTGTGGACAGGAAGCGGAGACAGAAGCAGTGCGCTCGTTAGTGGCCGCCATGTGTCGCATGTCGCTTACATCGCCAGGTGCATTAAACAGCCGGAGACGAAGCCAAACAAAGTCATCAGCAATCAACAAGTTCTGCATAAAATGCTGCGTGTTGAGAGCGCAGCCACCCGCGGCTGGTCACGGTCACGCGTGGCGACAGGGCAGCTGAGCGGCTGGGTCAGTAACGGAGGTGATCTGCTTCTTTTTAAGGCCAAGATTCACCATTAGATTATCATTTATTTACCAATCTAGCTGTTTTGTTGAGCGAGAACACATTCATTATCTTAAAATTCATATCAGTGGGACTTACAGGTATTTACAAAATTAGAGTAAAATATTTCATAATACTGCATAATACGTCTGCATCATTTTCTGCTTATGTCACCGTGCTGTGGTGACAGAACAGTGTGTGGAAGGGAAAGAAAATGAGCCACAGGAAAGTCCTCCGTCCCGCATGCTTCCACACGAGTCCTGCAGACCTTGCGCTCTTCACCATTTACTCATGTCTACATTGATCAGACTGAGCCCCAACTACACAAACGCGCCCGCAGTTCCGGTGGTGGGGCAGCTTTCATTGATGTTAGGGAGCCTGTCGTACAGCAGACCCACCCCCCCGTCCCTCTGCTTCTTCTGGAAAACAAGCATCAAGAGCCTCTCTGAATCTGCCTCCTCCTCCAGCATGCCCCTCCCCCTTCAGTCCACCCCGCCCCTCCCCCTTCAGTCCACCCCTCCCCCATTTTTCTGGGGTGCTCCTCCCTGCTCCTCCCCCATTTGCCCTTCCCCCTCCATGTCCACCCCTCCCCCGCTCCTCCCGCATACCCCCTCCCCCTCTGCCCTACCCCCTGCTCCTCCAGCACACCCGCTCTCCTCCCCGTCCGCCTCCCTCCCCCACTTACTGAGAGCTCTGGAGTGGTCTGGGTTCCGGATTCCTTTGGCACGCAGCCTCTGCAGCAGCACTGTGGAGGACTGTTGTTTCACCAGGTACACGGCCATGGAGTAGCTCTGAGGACACACACACAGACACACAGCTCTTTTCGTGCAGCTGCACCTGCGCAGCCATGGACCAAAGGCAATTTCATTGCTCTCCAGGTGAACAATAGCCCCCTTTGTGGCATCCGGCGTGTGGGAATGCCGAATTCTGACTTAGGCATCTCCCAAGTCTGAGCGCTCCTGGCAGCTTTAAGTGCACAGGAGAAAAATGGCATAAGAATGTCTATCTGGCTTTGGACGTGCAGAAACCGCAACAGCTGATTTCGCAACAGTGGCATGCACAGGCCCTGGTTCAGGCATGTGACGGCACTGAAATACACACCCATGAAGTCACCGCAACATGACACAATGCGGTGTGGACTGGCGAAGCATCTGACAGCGTGGGGCGGAAATACGCTCCAGAGGCTCTCTCGGGGCAGAGAAACACCCGGAAATACGCTCCATAGACACTCTCGGGGCAGAGAAACACCCGGAAATATGCTCCATAGGCTCTCTCGGGGCAGAGAAACACCCGGAAATATGCTCCAGAGGCTCTCTTGGGGCAGAGAAACACCCGGAAATACGCTTCATAGGCTCTCTCGGGGCAGAGAAACACCCGGAAATACAGTTCGGAGCCTCTCTGAAGGCTGATTCTGTTTCCTCTGACTGATTTTAATCACCGTCATTGTAACTGAGTAGCGAACGCCTGGCAGGAAACGCAGCCCTGGAGAGGTGAGTCCGTACCCTTCCGATCTCAGAGGTCCACGATACCACGATGGTGTTGGGCACAGTCGTCGACAACCTGACCAGTGAGGTAATGTTGATGGGCCGGCTCGGTCGCTTTGGCTCTACACCGTTTTTGGTTGGAGGAAGATATCCCTGGCAGAGAGAGGAGGGAGCAGTGAGACGTGCCACAGAAAAGGAGCTGGATAGCTGAGGACATGACTGTGTTTAGACATTCTGTCATCACATGATCGGCATGAATATGACAATAGTCTGATATCAGTCGGAGGACGCCTGTAACAGCAGGTTGGGTGTATAACAGGCAGGTTGGGGTGTATAACAGGCAGTTGGGGTGTATAACAGCAGGTTGGGGTGTATAACAGGCAGGTTGCAGGCTGTGTCCAGCCGGAACACTCACCGGGAGACTACAGGGCTTTCCATTCACTTTCACACACAGGTTGGGAGGAAAATGATCTTCCTGAGGACAGCTTGTCTCCGATAAACAAAACCTGTAGGGGGCAGGCCAGGCCAGGATGGGCAACATAAACAATATTTTAGATTGT